GGTTCTTTGGGTTTCGGGGAGATCTCGGATCGGTGGACTTCAGAACTCAGAGGTGCGCCAGTCTCTTACCCTGCCGATTCTTATAGGATGATCGGATGATCTTCGGTTTGTGGTACGACCTTCAGCTACCTTGCCCTGTATATCCCCAAACCCCCTAACTGAAGCCCCAAATCCTCAACCCGAAACGGAATATCCCAAACTATAAGAGACCCTAAGCCCTGTAAACACAGCAACCTGAACTGAACCTTAAAACCCTAAACCCTAATCCTATATCGGCATCTCTCAACCCTAAACCCAAGAACCCTAAACCCTAAATCCCGAAACCCCTAAACCCCACAACCCTAAACCCTAAACCTCAACCTTGAAAGGTACGCCTTTGTGGACCTCTTGGGCAACACCGCAGCAGTCCGATTGCTGCCGGGCCAGCCACCAACGAGGGCCCCGAGGTGAGCCGGTTGTTGGCAGGTTTCGCAGCTTATCGCGGTTTAGGGTTTAGGGTTTAGGGTTTAGGGTTCAGGGTTTAGGGTTTAGGGTTTAGGTCTTGCAGCGAGCGTGCAAAGAGTCCGAAAAGGGTTGGCATGTATATGAGCACAGTTTTTACTCTGGTGACAGGCTGGTTATCAAGGGTCGCTGCCGATTCAGGCTTGTAGGAGGAAATTATGGGGGGACCTGCCCAAAACCCTCTGAGGTTCAGGGTTTAAAGTTCAGGGTTGCATTTAGGGTTTAGGGTTTAGGGTACATGGTCTAAACCCTAAACCCTAAACCCTAAAGTATAGTGTTGTAGGCTTGAGAATGTAGAGTGTGCTCAGGCTTTTGGGCTCGGGCGGTTTAGGGTTTCAGGGGCCTTAAGTACCCCAGGCCGGAACCCGAACTACTAAAGCCTAGACCCTAAAATCCCTAAACCCCTAAGCCGGAACCCGAACTCATGATCCGCACAGTTCTTCAGCGTTTCTCGAATACATAAAATCCAAGCTCTACTTCACACTGTAGATGGACTCTTTCCTGGAGCGTCCAAGGAAAGGGGCTACGTGGTTTAAGATCCTAAGCACCTGGTGTGCAACTTGTTCACTCTCCGAAATACCAAGGGGGAAGTTTCAGTGCAGAGTAGCGCACCAAGTCCACGACACTCTAAGCCAAGCCTCAAGCCCCAAACCCAAAACCCCAAGCCAAAACCTTAAACGCGTGTAGTACTACGGTTTATGTTATAAATCCTGCATTACGTTAAGGACCCTGAACTATAGGAATTCTGGTATATTCCTTATTATGCTTAGTTCTCCGATACCCAACCATTAATTTCTTTGGATTCTTATAAGTTAGTAGTAATCTGAAAAGTTTAACCCTTTATTTCTCTGACTTATTCGTGAAGCAAGTATGGTTTAGGGTTTATACCATCAACCGCATCATGGGGAACGCTTAAGTGAACCCTAAACTACCCTAAGCCCTGAACCCTAACCCTAAACCCCAAACCCTAAACCCTAAACCCTAACCCTCAACTCTAACCCTCAACCCTGTAAACCCTAACCCTCCACCTTCCAGGCCGCCGAAACCAGCCTTGATCGCTTACGACCTGAGTCAGGCAACTCGCCTCCTTTGCCGGAGTTCACCAAGTTTTTCTGGTTTAGGGTTTAGGGAGGGTTTCAATAAAGGATTCCTACAAGGATTCCTTGAAAGGTTTTATCTGGGGGCTCCTAGTTTCAAGGTTTTGTGGTAGCGATTTGGGGGGTAAAGTGGTTCCCTGCGGCTCAAACTCACTCTTAACTGAAGGATGATTGTAAGTTGTATCCTCTAGTCGAGGGTTCAGGACTTAGGGGTCTAGGGATTTGGGAGTTGAGTCCAGGGTTCTTTGTAGGGGTTTAGGATTTAGGCTTAGGCGTTCGTTCAAGGTTTCGGGTTCAGGGGCTGTTACAGGGGCTATATACTTTAACCCCAAAAGTAGGTCAAATAAAGGCCCAAGGAAAAAAGAAGGCTTTTATTCTACATACTTTTGGGGTCCAGGTAGTGGCTTTTGGGTATTTATGCGAGCGGCGTTGATACCAGAGGCCCCTAAACCCTAAACCCTATAAACCCTATAAACCCAAAAAGCCCTATAAACCCTATAAGCCCTATAAACCCTACAAACCCTATAAACCCTATAAGCCCTAAACCGTCAAGGTGATGTCTGCCTTCGCGCTCTCCCCGAAGCCGCCGCACGTGACGCTGTCTGCTGCCGCCGAACTGCAAAATAAGAGTCTGGGTTTAGGGTTTAGGGCTTAGGGGTTAGGGTCCCAGTTAGGGTTTA